GCAGAGAGGGAAAAGAAGTCTAGAGAAGGGAAGCTGAGAGTCCTGTCTGGAATGAGTTAAGGTCAGGATGCCCTCTGGGCATCTACTCAACATCAAGTTAGCCGCTGACTAGGAATCAAGAGCACAGGGACAAAGTCAGGCCGGGGCCATCCACAGAATTCAAGATTCACAATGGAAGAGAGAGCTGGGAACTCCCCTCCCACCGTTAAACCCAAGCCCCCTTCCAGCCCCTGCTGTCTTTCATCTTCTTCTCCAAGCTTCTTGACAAAAGGGTCTACACACACTTTACTTCACTTCCCAAACCACCACAATATGGTTCTAACCTAACAACTTACTCAAAATCCTCTAGCCAAGTCCACTGTAGGCAGAATTTTGCCCACGTGACTTTCACCCTCTGATGTTAACTCCCCTAATTTTGTGACATTATAGGGACTTTGCAGATGTAATTAAGGTTATTAATCAGCTGACCTGAAGATAGGTTGTTTGCCAGGTGGATCCAGTGTAGTTACACAAACCCTTAGATACAAAGAGGAAAGCAGAGAGACTGGAAGCAGGAGAAAGACTCAGTTGGCATTGCTGGCCTACAGAGGGAGGCGCCAGGTGGAAAGCATGAGAAGAAGATGAATTTGGTCAAGAACCATGAGTTGGAGGAAGACAATGGGCCCCAACTACGGCTCTGACTTTAGGCTGGTAACACCCTGCGCGGAGAATCCGGTTACTCCACACTGGACTTCTAACACACGGGGGGCGCCTGGGTGGCTCAGTGGGTTAAAGCCTCTGCCTTCGGCTCAGGTCATGATCCCAGGGTCCTGGGATGGAGACCCGCTTCAGGCTCTCTGCTCCGCAGGGAGCCTGCTTCCTCCCCTCTTTCTCTGCCTGCCTCTCTGCCTACTTGTGATCTCTCTCTCTCTCTGTCAAATAAAATCTTTAAAAAAAAAAAATTTCTCTCTAACACACGGAAGCTGTGGGACGGTAGCTTTGTAGGTTTAAACTGCTGAATCTATGGTATTTGTTACGGCAGCAACTGAGAACCGATATAATCTCCAGTGGCCCCGTGTTGCCAGCATTACTGGGTTCTCCTCAGCCTTCCTTTTACTTGACCCCTCCATGACTCTCAGTAATGCCAGCCACTTCCTCCTTAAAAACCTCTTTTTCCTCTTATTCCATGACAATATTATCCTGACACATTGTGGCCCTCTGACAGTGCCTCCTCGGGCCAAATCATCTTCCGGCCTGGTCCTTTAGTAGGTGTGTCTCCAAGGGCCCCACCCTTGATCCATGGTCCTCACACTTTAATGTCTCTCTCAAACTCCAGATCTAAATGTCAGGTCAGCCATTGGCTAGGAATCAAGGGCACAGGGACAAGGTCAACAGCTCTGAACACCTCCACCTGAATGCCCCACCCTTGACATGTCCAAAACCCAAGCATCTGAACCAGGGTAATAATGATGCTGGAGATGAATGGATGTGAAGGGACTGGGGAAATCTGTAGGAGGCAAAATTCACAGGAGATGGTAGTTGACCATATATGGGGCTGGTGGAGAGGGAAGAGGTGAGGACTGCTTCTGGGTTTGTGGTTTGGGCAACTAGACTGACCGGAGGTGCTACAGAGAGGACCACAGGGCTCAGGTGAATGAGGAATTCAGTTTTGACACAGTGAGTTAAAAGCGTCAGGGAACTCTCGGGGGAAGATGTACAGTGAGCCACTAGGCATTTGGATCTGCAGCTTGAAGGACATGGCTGTCCTATCTGCGTACTGTGCCATCTTCGGGTGCCATCTGCACATTGTGGTTGAGAAAACTGTAAGCCTACCAGAGATAAGCAGTGAGAGACATGTGAGGTAAGTGTGGAGGCCAGTGGTACACCTCTGGCCACAGAATAGGGAGAAGAAGATGACAGTCTAAAATGCTGAGAAGGCACTCTTGAGAGGGAGAGAAATGTACTAGAAAAACCTGTCATGGAGCAAAAGAGGTTTTCATGAAAAGGTTTCATGAAAGGTTTCATGAAAAGAGGTTTTCAAGAAGGTGAATGTGGTCAGCACCATCACGAGCCATGGAGAGGTCAAGTAAGATAAAGACTGAAGAGAGGCTCTAGGTTTGGCAACATGAGGTCACTGGGAACTTTGCTGGAGGAGTTTGAGTAAGTAGTTGGGAGTAGGAGCTATATTGCGGCCGTTTGGGAAGGGAAAAAGTGCACACAGACTGCTCTGTCAAGAATCCTTGAATAAGAGGAGGAAAGAGGGGCATCTGGGTGGCCCAGTGGGTTGAGCCTCTGTCTTCGGCTCAGGTCATGATCCAAGGGTCCTAGGATCGAGCTCCGCATGGGGAAAAAAAAAAAATCTCTGCTCAGCAGGGGGCCTGCTTCTGCCTCTCTGTATCTCTGCCTGCCTCTCTGCCTACTTGTGATCTCTGTCTGTCAAATAAATTAAAAAATTTTAAAAAAGAAAGAAGAGGAAAGAGACAGCAGTGGTTGGAGGGGCCCTTGTGGTGGAGGGGGGTTCCCAGCTGTTCCTTCTGTTGGGCATTAGGATCTGCACCACTCAGGGCGGACCTCTTCCCTGGGCTCCTGACTCCTATCCAACTGTTGACTTGACATGGAGATGCCAGTGGGCATCTTGAACTTAACTCAGTCCAGACAGGATTCTTGATTTCCCCTCCCCAGACTTATTTTCCCTCACCGCACAGCAGCCACCCAGTTTCATCAAAATCCCAGGAGTCATCCCAGATTCATCTCTTTGATTTGTTTATATTACTCATGGATATTTATCTTATTCTTTAACGACATGTGACTCTTTTTTTTTTTTTTTGTCTTATAGTCCAGTTTTGGAGAATTTTTGTAATAATAGTAAAGGTGTTCTGACAGAAGGCAGTCAGAAAGGATGATAGATGTCCACCATAGTGGGTGTTTTCAGAAGGATCACATCAATAAATTGGACTTCCTCAAAGTTAAAAATGTTTGGTCTTCTAAAAGACACTGTTTAGAGGATGAAAAGACAAGAGTAGACTGAAAGAAATATATTTGATGAAATATAGAAAGACTCTCAAGCTCAGTTTTATTAGAATTAGGCAATTGTTTCTTTAAAATGACAACAAAAGCACAAGCAATATAAGAAAAAATAGATTACACTTCATTGAAATTAAAAACTTTTGTGGGTAAAAGGACACTATCAAGTAATTGAACAGACAGGGCGCCTGGGTGGCTCAGTGGGTTAAAGCCTCTGCCTTCAGCTCAGGTCATGATCTCAGGGTCTTGGGGTCAAGCCCCACAGAGGGCTCTCTGCTCAGCAGGGAGCCTGCTTCCTTCTCTCTCTGCCTGCCTCTCTGCCTGCTTGTGATCTCTGTCTGTTGAATAAATAAATAAAATCTTTAAAAAAAAAAGAAATTGAAAAGGCAACCACAGAACAGGAGAAAATATTTGGAAATTATATGTAAAAGCGGGGCCCAATATCCAGGATATATATATATTAAAAAAAACCTTTACAACTCAACAATTAAAAGACAAAAAAAATGTTTATATGACCAAAAGATTTGAATAGACATTTCTCCAAAGATATACAAATGGCCAAAAAGCACATGAAGAGATGCTCCATATTATTACGAGTCAGGCATTAGGGAAAAGCAAATAGAAACCACAATAAGATACATTACACCAACTAAGATGGCTATCATTTAAAAAATGAACAGTAAAATAATAGGTGTTGGTGAAGATACAAAAAGTTGGAATCTTCATATAGAACTGATGGGAATGCAAGATGGCACAGCTTCTGTGTCAAAGGGTTTGGGAGTTCCTCAAAGTGTTAAATACAGAGTGACCACGTGACCCAGCAATATAATTCCTAGGTATCTATTAAAGAGGAATGAAAACATCTGTTGACATAATGATATACACAGGAAGGTTGAATGCAGCATTATTCATAAGAGCCAAAAAGTAAAAACAGTCCCAATGTCCTTCAGCCAGCAGGTGAATGGGTAAACAAAACGTGGTCTGCCCATACTGTACTATACTATGGTCTCGGCCAGAGGAGGAATGAAGTACTGATACACGGTATAACATGGATGAAAACGTGATGCCAGACGCAAAAGGACAACTATTATATGATTCCATTTAATATGAAACACTTAGACGAAGCAGATCCACAGAGACAGGAAGCCTAGGGGATGGGCTGATGGGGGAATGGGGATTGACTGCCTCGTGGGAATGGCGTTTCCTTTGGGGTGAGGAAAAAGTTGAAAATCAGATAACAGTGCTAGTTGCACTATGAATATAGTTGCATTTTGAATATACTAAAAATCACAAAACTGCCCATTTTAAACGGGTGAATTTGGGGGTTCGTAAATTGTATCTCAATAAAGATATTGCATTTCCAAATTATACGAACCATAATCATCTTATCCCATTTATTTGTCAAAGCTGTGCCCAGGAGCCCTTACTGTGTGGCCAGCAGTAGGCTAGATGCTAGATGCTCTGAAAATGGAGAGATGAATGAGACTCCTCAGTCTAAAAGGGGATCTTGGTACTAGAATGGTTATATACGCAGGCAGTGATTAAAACCCGCGACTCGGGGGTTAAAGAGATCCATCCACATTGCAATCCACTGGTTAGAATCTTGAGATTGTTTGACCTTCGGCTCATTTCTCTTTTCTAGATCTGTCAAATGAGGACGACAGCACTTTTCTCATATGGGAAGCGATCGGCACCGGCTAGGAGCTACAGCCGTTACAGGTTACAGTCCCCTGGTTGCGGTGCGAAGTGGACTATTTTCCCATTGTACAGCTGCGACCACGGACGGGTCAGAAGAGAAAACCCAGGTCGTCCCCGCCTGAGTCAGGGTCTCGGAAAAGCCCGCAGACACCGGCCAGTCGCCGGTCGTGGGTTTCGGGAGAGTCTGTGGGCCGCGCGGCCCCGTTGGGACGAGCACGCGCCCGAATGGGGCGCTCGCGCGCGCGTTTGTGTCCCGGCGGTTGCTCAGCAACCGGCTGGGAGGGAGGCGCCGCGCGGCCATGCAGAAGCCGGGCGGGACCCTGAGCGCGGCGGTCCGGGAGCACCTGAGGCGCTTGTGTCTGCGCGAGTTCCCGTGCGGCACTGGCAGCTGGGTGCGGGCGCCGGCGGGGGCGGCCGGACGAGGGACTCGGGGGGCCTGGGGGACGGACGGGACGGACCAGGGGCGGTGGGGTGGGCCCTAGGGGCCGCCAGCTGCAGGATACGGCTGATCTGGAGAAGCCTGAGGAGGAGGTTTGGATCTGGGCATTTAGGGAGCGGCCTGACCTGGGGTGGGAGCTGGGACACTGCAGGGGCAGACGGGATGGCTCCCCTAGAGCACCCCGACCCCGCCTGACCAGAGAGGAGGGCAGGACCCCTATCCTGAGCACATCAGGCTGACCTGGGGTAGGGTTTCTCAACCTGTTAGAGACACCAGGCTCCTTTTGGGGTGAAAAGCTTTTCCCGGGGGGAAAGAGCTTCTCAACCTTCAAGTGCTCCAGAACACCTAGCGAGAGGCCCCACTCCTCGGAGTGCAGGGCGGGGGCGGGGAGAGGGAAGTTGTGGACGGGGTGGTGGTTTCAGAGCCGGCTCTGTCCTGAGGCCTGCAGAGGCTGGTGGGTCTGGAAGAAGCAGCTTCCTCCCTCCTTTCCTGTCTCCTTGTCTCTAAGGCCAGAAACACTTCCCTTCTGAGGCTTCTCCCTGGGGAGCAAGTCGTGGCTCAGGAGAGCTAGAGCAGGTGTGTCTGCCCACACCACTCCCCCCCATAAGCTCCATGCTCTTGCTGGGGCTGGGGAGCATGACGGTGATAGCCCACCGCCCCTCAGAGGTGCACAGGAACATCCTGAGGGTCTGGAACGTTTCCCTCCCACTTGCTGGAAAGCTGGCACTCCCCACATTGGTAAAACACTAAGGGGAGGTCAGTGTTCCTCTTCTCATAGAGGAGAAAACGGAGACACCAATCAAGGAACCAATTCATTTGTTTGTTTCATCAACAAACTTTGTTGCACACCTACTGTGTGTGCCTGGCATCCTTGAGGTGCTTTTGGGTTTCACTGATGTCTCTGAAGGGTCTCCCGGAGGAAGGGCTGGGAGACAGTCAACTCTGGGCTACTGTGATATGTAAATACAGAATTCACCTTTCCAGCCTTGCTACCACTTCCTCACAAACCTTTCCTTTGTTAATACATCCCCCAGATGACCTTTTGCACCTTGTAGCTTCTAGTACATAAATCTTTCTGAAATGTTTGGTTGCTTTCCCCTGCTTCTTCAAGGTTCCCGGCTTGAGTAAACTCCTAAAGGCAGGAATGTAGTTCTCGGTCTGTAGTTCTATCCGGGCTAATAATCAGTCAAAATTATTGAGTACTCACCATCTAAATGTCTAAGCTCTTTGTCCCTGATTGTCCTGAATGTTACAATCTGCTCCATTTGGGGTGTCCCGAGTCCTGAGTCACTGAGCAGCGAAATTCTCCACCTGCACCACTGCAGAATAAGTCACGCTTTCTTCCTCGAACGTGGCGAACATGGAAGGAGCTGGTCCCCAGAGAGGAGGAGGCCGGGAACCCTGGGGAGGAGACAGTGGAGGCGCTTCTGGGCCTGGTCCGCAGCCCCAATTCACCCTGGGCTCTGCCGGAGGGCTCCAGTGCAGAGGACCATTTTCTGAAGGAACTGGCCATCCGGAATCCCCTGGTGCTCAAAGACACCTTCTTCTACTCCTACTTCAGGTCCCTTCGGGTGGTGGACAAGCAGGTAAGAGCTGGGAGCTGCTGGTGGGGAGGCCATCGCCCTACAGAACTGCATAGTCCTTAGGGTGGGACCTCGGTGTTCAGTGGGAGGAAGGATGGGAAGGTAGTTGTGACCCCCAAATTAATTTCACCAGCCCCTCCAGCAGGGAGGGCCAGCAGCTCATTTGTTGTGTGTCTTTCCTCTACCCCCGTCCCCAGGGGTGGGGGGGTCATCCAGGTGTGTCTTGCATAGCTGACTTCTGCTGCACCGTGCGGTAGGCCCCCTGGGTCCTAGGACAGACCTTTAAAGTCTCTATATTGGTTTTACTTAATCTTTGGGGGCCCGGGGTTAGCGAGGGTGGGCATAGTCCTGTATGTTACTTTCTGTTACGAAAAAGCCTTCTTCGCTTCTAGCAAATAACAGAGCCCCCAAACTGCAAACTCAGCCTTCCTCCTTTTGCTTCTCCTCCCCCAGAGAAACTGAATTTACACAGTACTGGGCATGGGGAGCGGGAGCCACTCCCACCAATTTGCCCGGGACCTTACGGGTGTCAGCTCTGAAAGTTTTGTGTCCTGGGAACCCCTCAATCCTGGGCAAACTGGCATGGTCATCAGGAAGGACCCTAATGTCTTTGAGGCCACAGACAACTGAAGAATCACAGAAGGAGCTCTGAACTTCGGGTCTGACCCTGCTGCGCATCAGCTAGCGGTTCCTTACAGCCTCGGGGTTCACTGCGGCCCAGCAGGAGACAGCAAAGAACATGGCATCCTGGCCCTTGGGAGCTCACAGTCCAACAGGACACTGAGCTGACAGTTGGACAACACCTCTAGGGGGCAGGGTGGGCTGGGGTCGAGGCACAGGGATCCTGGTGGGATGGGCGGGAGAGCGGCTAGGGAGGTCCGTTAGGGCAGGAAGAGGGTTGGCAGGTGCCAGGTGACTCAGGAGGGGAAGTGGCCACCTGTTGCTGTCCCCCGTGGACCCTATTTCTGCTCTGCAACTGCCTCACCTATGAGAGCTCTCAGCTTCCTGATCTTCCCTTCCAGGTGAGCCTGGTGGATAAAGGTCTCCTGAAATTTCTGAAACTTGAAGAGTTGGTACTGAGTGCCAATCAGATCAAGGAGATAGACGCCATCAACCTGCCCCCAACGCTCAAGGTAAAGGAGCCCAGGCTCCCTGTGGCGTCTTTGTGCCGCCACAGCCCAGAGACCCTGCCTCTGCCTTGTCCTGCCGCCTGAAGGTTCGGCCAGTGCGGCTGTATGCCAAGGGCCAGCCCCAGGCTTTGGAGAGGGAGGCCAGATTCCACAAAAGAAGTAGAATTTCCATGTGACCCAACAATGCCATCTCTAGGCATATGCCCCACAGAATTGAAGGCAGGGACTGGGATTCTTGCAGCCAAAAGCGGGGCCAACCCAAACATCCATCCACAGATGAGTGGCTAAACGAAATGTGGTCTCTCTGGACCGTGGGGTGTTGCTCAGTCATAAAAAGGAATGATGCATGCCACAGCATGGGGGAAACTTGAAAACATTATGCCGAATGAAGGAGGCCAGACCCCAAAGGTCACATATTAGGGGGTTCCACTTGCACAAAATATCTAAAAGAGGCAAATCCACAGGCACCGAAAGTAGAGCAGAGATTACTAGGGCAGGGGTGAGACTGATGGGGAGTCATTGTGGTATAAGTCGGGGGACCCACTGTGATGGAGACAGAGCTGTCTGGGGCGATGAAAACTTCGAGAACTAGGAGTGGTGATGGCTGCGCAAATGGTGCCACTTAGCACCACTGAAGTAGGGAACATGGCAAATCATATGTATGTTGCCACAATAAAAAAAATCATTTTTTAAAGATTTTTATTTATTTATTTGACACAGAGAGAGATATCACAAGTAGGCAGAGCAGCAGGCAGAGAAAGATGGGGAAGCAGAGAGCCCGATGTGGGGCTCGATCCCAGAACCCTGAGATCATGACCTGAGCCGAAGGCAGAGGCTTAACCCACTGAGCCACCCAGGTGCCCCTGTGGTCTCAATTTTAAATTAAATATGGAAATTTGTAGATTTTGTGGCAGAAGGAATTCAGAAATGTGGCTCAGTGCCAGGCTTAGGGAGAAACCAGACGAGGCTTTGGAGCAGAAATCCAAGAATGTGCTGTCATCCTCCACATGAGTCCTTACTCCAGCCCGGGACCCTCTGGCTCTCCCAGAGACAGGCTGCCGTGGGGTGAGCAGTTGCCAAAATGCTGCGCCTGTCCCCATCCACTCCACCATCACCTCCCATGCCAAATTTTAACATTTCCTTCACAAAAGGGAAAGAAACTTTCCAAAACCCACTGCAGAAATACTTGTTCCCCATATTTTATTTTATTTTCTAATTTATTTTGAGAGAGTGAGCAAGAGAGAATGAGAGGGAAGTGGAAGAGGGAGAAGCAGGCTTCCCGCCGAGCAGAGAGCCCCATGGGGGCTCGATCCTAGGACCCTGGGATCACGACCTGGGCTGAAGGCAGACGCTTAACCGGCTGAGCCACCCAGTCACCCATATTTTTTTTTCCCCATATTTTAAAGGGAGCCTAGGCGGGCACAGGGCGGCAGGGTATGAGTACTTCCTGGTCCCACCCCGCTGTTTCTCAGAGAGGAAGGGAGGAAGGCTGGAAGGAAGGACAGACTGGAGGTCACGGGCACTGTCCTTTCTGCTCCCCCCAGGTGCTGGAGCTCTACGGCAACAAGATCAGCAGCGTGGAGTGTCTGTGCACTCGCCCGCCCCCACATCTCCAGCACTTGGGATTGGGTCACAACAAGCTTCTGGGCCCCTTGGAAAGTCTCTATGTCACCGCAGACTACTGGTAACTCCAGAGCCGCGGACAGAAAGAGAGAGAAGGGTTTAAGCCTTAGGTTTGGGTCGCATCTTGAAGAACTCAGCTTTGCTCTTTTCTTTCTTTTTTCCCCATAACTGCTGGTTGGCCACCAGCTCCAGACCTAGGATTCGTGTCTCCAACTGAATAAGCAAAAATTCCCACCAAAGCCCAGGGAAGGGGAGCAACGGGTGGCGGGAGTGGGTCAGACCTTTCGCTCTGATGCCTTTAGGTCAGGGCTGCTCAGCTCAGGCACTGCCGACATCGGAGTGGGCAACGGTCGGGTGTGGGGCTGTCTCCTGCGCTGTAGGAAGTCGAGTGGCACCCCTGACCTCCACCCACTAGAGGCCAGGAGCTCCCCCACACCAGCTGTAACCACCCAAAGTCTGTAGACTCACACCATGGCCAGAGTACCCTGTGTTCGGATTTTTTTATTTGGAAAACATACCTCCTCTAAACCAAGGTAACCTGCTTCATGCCAAGTGTGAATTTCGTAAAAATACGCACGTGAAACTTCTGTCTTTCACTGCCTTGAAATTCAAAGGAGGGTACCCTGTTCATGGATCTGTTTTGCTGATGCCTTCCCCGTCTTCTTGAAGGCTGACATTGGGTAAGGTTCGTGTGCTGGCCCCCAAGAGATGTTCTTCTTGGGTATTTCCTGTTGACTGGCTAGCCAGCCTTGCCGTGGGCTGTCCCGGCCAGAAGAGCAGGGCGGGAGGGGACGGGAGGGCCCGAGTTCAGTCTGCTGGAGACCAGAGGCTGTGATGTGCTGCTGAAGTGTCCTGCCTTCTTACTGCTGTTCTCAGACCTGGCACCTGTTTGCTTTCTAGTTTGTGTGTGGGAAGAGCACATGTGCCCCCCTTCCTGGTCCTTTCTGCCAGACTGGGATGGAGGGTGCCTTCTTTGTCCTCATTGGCATTCTTCTCCCATGTGCCCCCAAGTCCCGAATCACAAGGCTTCCCCCGACCATGAGTCAGTGGGGCTTTGGAAGGTGTCCTCCTGCATCTGGACCCCTCAAGTTTCACGCACCCTCTTCCCAGGTCCCCATATTTACTGGCCTTTTTTACCTCTGCCCATGGCTTCTCCCCACATGGCTTCCTTCTGTCTTTCTTGCCAGTGTCCGTCTTTGTTGAGAACATTCTAGATGCACGGTGTTGTATCAGGATCTATGGGCAGTACCAAGTGTGCCGCTGAGAAAAAGAGATCTGTGTAAATGGAAGTGATTGCAAGCAGGATGTGACCAGGGCCATCTCTGTCACAGTGAGGATGGCAGCGTCATGGAGAGGGGTGGGGGAGGGGCAGTAGAACCAAGAGGTCCTTCTCCTGCCCTCCGAGGCTCCCCTCCTGCCCTCAGCCTGGGCCTGCTGTCTGTTCTGGACACGGGGTGCTGGGGGCTGTCAAGCAGGGCAGGCCTGGCGCCGGACCACAGCTGCCTGTCCCCATCCCTGCACTCAACCCTGCCTCAGGACTCCCGGATGGTCCCGCTCCCCTTCTAGGCCCAACCTCGTCTCCCTGGACCTGAGCTTCAACGACCTGACGGACCTGCAGGGCCTGATTGCCAGCCTCCGCACCCTCCCGCACCTGCGGGTGCTTGTGCTCCAGGGGAACCCGCTGGCCCTGGTGCCCTACTATCGAGGCTTCACCATCGACAGCCTGCCCCCGCTCTGCGTGCTGGACGACATCACTGTGTCTCCCAGTGAGAAGCATCAGTTCCGGGGGCTCAGCCGGAGTGGGGGTGAGGGAGCTGATGGGCAGACTGGGGGGGGGGGCTGGCACTGGACCCACCCCCCCAAGCCTCTGCTCGACGGTCCGCCATCAAACTGGGTGGCCTGTCCCCGCAGCTCTCCAGTTAGTCAGGCGTAGCTCACCTTCCTGATCAGAGTTCTCTCCCAGATTTTTGGTCCCTGTGATTGGGATTTGGGGACAAGTGGTAAGGAGGCTGAAACCATCCTAGGCCAACAGGAAGCATTCGATCAGTCCATTTCTGTACTTTTGTGGTGGCTTGAGATCACCCCCTTGTGGCCCACACCATAAGCTGCATCAGGGCCTTCTCGAGGTCAGGGCAATGGACTTTGGTAATCATAGCTTCTGGTTTTGTGTGCCAGGCTGTGCTAAGGTAACATCGAGTCTTTATCTGTAAGCATCCTGTAAAGCAGCTACTATCATTCCCGTTATACGAATCTGGAAAACAAGGCTTAAGAGGGGTATCTTCAAATCTCTGTTTGAATTCGGCAGAACTGGGATTTGAACCCAAGTCTGCAAACCAGGAGGCTCAATGCGGGAGGAGGGGAGAATTCAGGGACCTGGCTGGGCCTGGCCCCCCCTGCCGTCCCGCTCACTTCTGCCCCTTCCCCTCGCAGACCTCTTGGCCCGTGAGGCGCAGCTTGTGGTGACTATTGGAAATGTCAAGGGCATTCTGGACACCTCTATCCTGGACCCAGAACCCGGGCCTCAAGGCCCTTTTATCTCATACAGCTATTACGTGACCTACGACTTTGTGGAAGATGAAGAAGGAGAAAGAAGCGCGCACGGTGGCGTGCTGGCTGAGGTGTGTGCCCCGCGGGCTGCCCGGGGGGAACTGGGGGACACGTGCTGCCCTTGGCTTCACGGGGTCTCCTATGAGGCAGAACCGCTTCTCGGGGCCCAGAAAACCCCTTGCTCGGGGCTTTCCGGTTCACACTCTACTCAGAAGGGAAGCGGCTCTATTCAGCTCCTTTCTTGCAGCTCCAGTTACTCACCTGTGCTCACCTCCTTCCTTTGCCCTTGAAATACAAGCAAACGGCCTCGCAAGGGAGCAACATTTACAATCAGCCTGGCTGTCCCCACCCCGTGTCTCTCCGTCTCCCATCGCCCTCCCCGTCAAAAGCAGACCCGAGGGTATCCTCCAACCAGGAGAGATGGGGCACACCCGAATTCCTGCAGAAATTGTTACTGCTCCTACTCCCAACACAGACCTCTCAGAAGTGGCAAGACGGGCATTTAAAAAAAAACTTCCTGCCCGAGCCCGCGCGTTTGTTAGGGCTTCAAGCTCACCGCGGCGCAGACACCTGCTCCCGCACAGGCTTGAGAAGCCCGCGCATAGCGGCCCCCGGGGTCTGGGTCTCTCCCGCAGATCGTCAAGCCCTCGCCCAGCACCGAACAGCTGGGCGAGGACATCCCTGAAGAGCTCTTCGGGGAGGCCGAAGACTCCCCGGAGTCCGGGCTGTCCAGCCAGTCGGGAGAGCTGGAGGAATCGGGGGCCTCGGAGGGCTCGGGGCACCTGCCAAGGGTGACCGACTCCGCGGAGGAGCTGGCCAAGTTGCGGCCGCGAATAGATCCCCGGCTCTGCCCCTCCCCGGGGTAAGGACGGAGGCCAAGAGGGAGCGGGGGGCGGGGGGCTGGGGGCTGGGGTCCCGCGAGCTCGGTCCGCGCCCCTTTCCGGCCCGACAGCAGAGCGGTCCCTGCGGCCCCGGGGGACCCTCTGGGCCGCTGGCCGCGCAGGTGCGGCGGGGTTCAGTGTTCAGGCCCCGGGAGCCCTCCCGCTGCCCGGACGCAGCTGCACCTTCTTTCCCCGAACCGCCTGGTGCGCGGAATGCGGGGCTGGCTTCAGTCCGTGCAGGTGAGAGAGGGGCAGCCCTTCCCCCGCCCTCTGAGTTGAAGACCTTCCCAGTCCGGCTTTTCCATTCATCCGGGATTTACTCTGGCCTCTGACCCGTGGTGTGCATCTGAGTCGCGGGTTCTTTCCCACGCACCCACCCCCGAGGCCCACCACGTGGGCGTCGTGCCTATCACGTGTTTGGGGTGGTTTTTTGTTTGTTGCGTATCACGTTTTGTCTTACTTGATAAAGAGTCTTTTTTGGTGATGGGGAATTTCACAAGAACTTGAAATCACTTCTCATTTAGTCTGGAAGCTCCATTAAACTGATTTTTAAGTCATTGCAAAACATGGAGCCTGGTTTGGGGTTTTTGTTTTCATTTTTAACAAGCTTCCTGCTATCAGCTGGCGTTGCTGTTTCTTCTGACGACCAGAGCTCAGAAAACAGAATCTGTGGCTGAGTTCTAATGAACCAGCCTTCGCCCCCACAGATTTTTTTTTTAAAGATTTTATTTATTTATTTGACAGACAGAGATCACAAGTAGGCAGAGAGGCAGGCAGAGAGAGAGGAGGAAGCAGGGTCTCTGCGATCATGACCTGAGCTGAAGGCAGCAGCTTTAACCCACTGAGCCACCCAGGCGCCCCACCCCCACAGATTTTGCAGCCCATACCTTCAAGGAATTGGGAAAGTTAGTTTCTCTTGAAGCTAAAAGTCATTTTTTAATGACTTAAAACCTCCACTGAAGGTAAATGATACAGGCTTATGGAGGGTATGGGGGAGCTGCCCTGGGCTGTTTGGCTGAGTTCCTGTGGGTGACAGTGACGGAGGCGGCTACCCCAGCTGTCAGAAGAGGGGAAGCCCCCAGCCAGCTCCTAGCCAGGCTCCCCAGTAAACCCCAGCTGACAGCCTTGTGGTGGTGGTGGTGGTTGAATTTTGGGAAATAGCAACAAAAAAGTAAGAACCACAAATGATTCTGCTTTAAAAAAAAAAAATGTCAGTTAGAAAATAAAGATTTCTTCTCCTGTATCCATTGAACTCATCCCATAGAATGAATTACTCTTATTTATTTATTTATTTTTTTAAGGAGGCTCTACATCCCACGCGGGGCTTGAGCTTAGGACCTCCAAGATCGAGAGCCCCCATACTCTCCCGACTGAGCCAGCCAGGCGCCCCAGAGGGAATTACTCTGAATGGTTTTGTGCGTAGAGTTCCCTGTTTTTTCGTACACGCTCATATATATGAACCTATATACACCTATAATTTTTTTTCTCAAAAATGAACTCGTAATCTGTGTCTCAGTTTGAAATGTGCTGACTTCGCATGTGGCTGTGGACACACAGACCTGTTATTTTAAAAACAACAACAACAAATGATTCAAATGTAACGCACATGTACAGAAGAAGCCACCTTGCGGCCAAGTGATGAGGCTCAGGGAACCACTGCCCTTGACAAGAAACAACAGACCAGAACCTCCGAAGGTTCCTTATGCCCTTCCCTCCTTCCAAGGGTCACTGTCAGCTCAACAAACACCATTAACTCGTGTGCCTCTCTTAGACCTCCCTATACATGGCCTCAGGCAGTAATGCTGTGTGTCTGGCCTCCCGGGTGACGGCACCCCGTCTTCCTCCGCCCCCGCCCCCCAGGACAGTTCTCTTCAGCACTGTCCGTAAACCCTGGACTGACGTCATCCCCTGCCACTACGAGATGCATCACACGCTCCGGGACCTCGTGCCCCTCAAGGCCTTCCTGCTGGCAGGGACCACCGTGACCATCGTGGAGGAGAAGGTGGGTGACGGGGTTCCCATGCTCCGTGCATCGGTCCCCTTGTCCCGTCTTCTGATCTTCTGTCAGGGCATCCTGGGGCCCTGCTGCCTTGTTGGCGAGGTCTCCGCGCCTTTCCAGCAAGATCCCGGCCAGCCCTGCGCTGGTCTCCTTCACTCATGGCCACCTCGCTGTCCCCTAGATTCTCTCCTGGCCTCCAGTGCCTTCACCTGTTGACGCTGTGTTGTCTTCCAAGAGCGGAAAAGGGGAGAAGGACAAGGGGCAGAAGGACAAAGACAAGAAGGGAAAGGACCGGAAGGACAAGGCTGGGAAAGGGGAGAAGGAGACGGTGCCGAAGGTACCTCTGGGCTGCCTGGTGCCCAGGGCGGTTGCGGTGGCCGGGGGCGCTCTGGGCACTGTCCCTGCCGGGCCCCATCCCCTCTCCCCGACTCTGCCCCCAGGAGCAGAAGGCGTCCAAGAAGAAGGAGCTTCCTAAGGAGCTCCGGCAGGACCCGCCCATCCTGCGGGTGCTGGGCAGCGGCTTGGTGGCCTTGGAGCCCCTGCTGGTGGGGGAGCCACTGGTGTCCGAAGTGTGCAACTTCGGGGTGATCCGCACCTTGGAAACTGACAACCTGATTGCTCTCAGGGTAGGGGGGGGCCCCTGCCACACCCCTCCCCACCGAAACAGTGCTGGGCCGGGAAGGGCTATGCAGGCCTCTGAGCCTCCTCTGGAAGGCCCCGTGTGGGCAGGCCCCTGGGAGGCACGGGGAGGAGGAGGGGGAGGAGGGCCTCCACCCCGGCCTGCAGCTGTGCCCAGCTCGCTGGACCCCGAGCTGCGGGCAGCCCTCTCAGATGTGAGGAGCCCGGCCAGGGGGTGGGTCAGGCCCGCTCCTTCCTGGGCCGGGGGGGAATCTGCAGGCCCCACTCCCCAGCGTCCCCCAACTCCAATAAGCCTCTCCCGTTCTTTCTCTCAGGATGCAAAGAAGAACAAGAACAAGAAAGCTAAAAAAGGTAAGAACTAATGATGGCAGCAGAGAGCGGGGAATGTTTCCTGAGGACCTTAGTCTGTCCATGTGATCACAGGCCACAGCCCGTGTAAACAACAGACATTTATTTCGGGCAGCTCCGGAGGCAAGGAAGTCCAAGACCAAGGTGCCAGCATCGCTAGGTAAGGGCCCACTTCGTGGCAGCCCCTTCTCGATGCGTCCTCACGTGGTGGGAGGGGCGCGGGGACTCGCTGGAGCTTCTTCTGTAAGGATCCTGATCCCATTCTCGAGGCTCTACCCTCACGACCTTGTCACCTCCCAGGGCTCCCCTAAGACCGTCACTTCTGGGGGTTAGGATTTCAACATGTAAATTTTGCAGAGACACAAACATTCAGACCATAGCAGGACCTGGGGAAGGAGCAGCCTGATTTGGGGCCAAAGAAATGGAAGGACCGAGAATCATATCTTCTGGGCAGCAGGAGGGCCCTGCCCACCCTAAGGACCCAACCCTCCATCTTTCCTGTGTCCCTGAGACAGGAGCAGCCAGCTGTGGATCGTGCTAAGGGCAGGAGAGGGACCTGGGGTAGGAGGCAGGTGAGGTGGGAGGGGACCGAGTTGGGCCTGGCCCCGGGGTCCTTCGGGCTTGGCAGTCTGGGGTCTGTTTCAGGACAGTGGCTGTCTTTGCCCAACTCAGAGTCTGGGTTTGGTCCCGGAAGAGGGGGCAGTCACCGAAGTGTCTGAGAGAGGTGGGCTTTGGACTGGAGCTGCAGAAGGAAGTAGCTGGCGTGGCAGGAGCGCTAGGAGACAGGGCCCGGCTGCGAGGCAGCCACGGTGCCAGGCCAGGTCAGAGCAGCACCGTTCCCGACAGCCGGAAAGGGGACATGGCCAGGGCCCATCCGTGGGTGAAAGCCGCAGCAGGACGTGGCATTCCCACATGATGGGGATTCCTCAGCAGCAAAAATTAACAGAGCTCGGCCCAGGTATACCTGGAGGAACCTTGACAAGGAGACGGTGAGGGGAAGAAGCCGGCCACAGAGGGCCACACGGTGTGTGAGTCCGTCCATGTGAAATGTCCCATGACAGACGAGTCCACAGGGATGGAAAGTAGACCAGTGGGGCCTATGGGAGAGGAAGGGGAGTGATTCTAATTGGTACAGGGTTTCCATGAGGGGGGACGGAATGTTCTGGAATTACATCATGGGAATGTTTGAACAACGTGGTGAACATACTAAAACCCACAGAACTGTACACTTAAAAAGTTAGAATGTTGAATATGATGAGAATTTTATCTCAGTGAAAGGAAGTTCACCTAATACAACAACAACGTAAAAGCAAGAAATGCTGAGGGCCCGACCTGGAAGTGGATGGCAGAGGCGGTGTGGAGGGGATGCGTCCGAGAGTGACTGGGGGGCCGGGGGCGCGGGAGAGGCTTTGCGGGGGGGGCCTGCAAAGCTGCACCCGGGGCTGGGCTGGGTTTTGCACCTGAGAAACCCGAAGTGTGTGGAGCGCCCGAGAAGCCTTTCCCTCTCCTGCCTCTTGTCCCCCCGGTGCCTTATCCATCTCCTCTGCCCCCACGCCAGCCAGCCCCCATGGTCACCTCGCTACATGGCCTTCCTCCCACACAGCCACTCTGCCAGGCCCCCCACAGTCCCACCGAGTCATCCCCTGTTGGAATTTCTTCCATGACTTCCTGCTGGCTGCCTCCCAAAGTCCGAATGCCCATGTTCTGTGAGCCCCGCGAGCTCTGCCCGGAATTTACTCAGCTGCTTCATCCATCAGATCTCAGCGTCGGGCACCTTCTTAAGGGAAGCTGAGCCTCCGGGTTGGCCTGGGCTCCCTGTTTTCTTCATAGCATCTGGTGGGTTTTGTCATTGTTGATGTTGTTGTTGTTGTTTTGGTTTTCTGTTTTTTTAAGAATTTTACGTATTTGTCAGAGAGAGAGCATAAGCTGGGGGAGCAGCAGGCCAAGGGAGAAGCAGCTTCCTGCTGAGCAAGGAGCCCGATGAGGGACTTGATCCCAGGACCTGAGCCGAAGGCAGATTTGGAATCAACTGAGCCACTCAGGCATCCTGAATCCAGTGTTCTCATCTATAGTACTCAGCCCTGTGCAAACGATAGAGATACAAACCGATGTGATTGTTTTATGTTTATCTTGTCCACGACACTGAAACTACAGGTGTGTGTGTTCGGGGTGGGTGTCTGCGCCTGCATTCTTTAAAGTCCTAGAACCCCCAGTCCCCAGCGTAGTAGGCTATCAACATGGGTTGACTCAATGAATCAGCTCATAGGTGGTATTTAAAACCATGAAAATATGCGAATTTATGTTGACAGAGAAGAGGAAAGGATTGAGCCCAGCACCTTGGGGACCATTACAAAATCTGAGCAGGAGGGGACAAGACCCAGAAGGATCACATTTAACCATATCCTAAAACAAAATTCAAAGATACTTAAAGGAATACAAAACTACCCCCCAAGTTGGGGCGCCTGGGTAGCTCAGTCTGTTAGGCATCAGACTCTTGATTTCAGCTCAGGTCATGGTCCTCAGGGCCATGAGATAGAGCCCCACTCTGTGCTCTGTGCTCTGTGCTCAGCGTGAAGTCTGCTTAAGATTCTCTTTCTCCCTTTCCCTCCGCCCCTCCCCCAGCTCACATGCTCTCTCTCTCTTTCCAAAATAAGTAAAATCTTAGAAAAAAGCACCCAAGGTAAAATTCACATCTACCATCCAGCAAAAAAACTACCACACATGCAAAAAAAATTAATATATAAGGAGAATTTATCAACCATAACTGACTCAGAAATGACATATGTGTTAGAATTAGGAGACAAGGGGATGCCTAGGTGGCTCAGTTGGTTAAGCCGCTGCCTTCGCCTGAGGTCATGATCCCAGCGTCCTGGGATCGAGTCCCACATCGGGCTCCTTGCTCAGCAGGGAGCCTGCTTCTCCCTCTGCCTCTGCCTGCCTCTCTGTCTGCCTGTGCTCGCTCTCTCTCTCTCTCTCTGACAAATAAATAAAACCTTAAAAAAAAAAGAATTAGGAGACAAGGACATTAAAGCAATTATTATAATTATGTTCTATATATCTAAGAAGCTAAAGGGAAGATGGTGGTATGTAACAATATGGACTATTAACTAAACTTTTAGGGATGAAAACAACCATGTCCCATCAGAAATACATTCATTGGGATTAATGGCATATTAGAAAATTCAGAAGAAAAGATTAGTAAACTGGAAGCGGTAGAAACTACCCACAATTAAACTCAGAAAAATGGCTGGAAAAAAATTAACAGAGCATCAGTGTTTTGAGACAAATTCAAAGGAACTGATGTCCGTCTAGTTAGAGTCCCTAAAGGAGAGAGGGGTAGGCAGAAAGCATAGCTGAAGAAGTAATTGCTAAACTATTTCCAAGTTAGATGGAAATTATAAATACACCAATCCAAAAAGTTCAGTGACTCAAAACTCAAGAAGCTTGAAGAAAACTAAGCCAAGCTACATAGTAATAAAACCGCTTAAAATCATTGATAAAGACAGAGGAACAAAGATAAAGACAACAGCAGTCTTATCACCGGGAAAATGCCAAACAGAAGACAGTGAAAGAATTCTTAAACACTCAAAGAAAAATGTCAACTTAAAATTCTTTTTTTTTAAAGATTTTATTTATTTATTTGACAGACAGAGGTCACAAGTAGGCAGAGAGGCAGAGAGAGAGAGAGAGGAGGAAGCAGACTCCCTGCCGAGTAGAGAGCCCAACATGGGGCTCGATCCTAGGACCCTGAGACCATGACCTGAGCTGAAGGCAGAGGCTTAACCCACTGAGCCACCCAGGCGCCCCTCAACTTAAAATTCTTTACCCAACAAAAATATCTTTCATAAACAAATGTGAACTGAACACTTTTCTAGACCTACAAATGCTGAAAGAATGTATCACCAGCATACTTCTATTACAAGAAACGTTCAAAGAAGTCCTGTAAGCGGAAGAAAATACTAGATGGATCCGAATCTGCACAAAGAATTCAAGAGCCCTGGAAATGCTAACTGTGGTTAAATATAAAGACTCCTTTCTTATTATTTAGATATGTTTAAATGATTGTTAATTGTTTAATGAAAAGATACATTGCAGTGCTTATACCACCAGTAGAATGTGTAACGACAGCAAAGAGGCGAAGGGTGGGAGTAAGGAAGGAGATGGAAGTGTATCACCATAAGGCTCCTATTTCTATGTGAAGTGTCATATCGCCTGAATATGGAAACTCAAAGGACCTAGAATAGCCAAAACAACTTTGAAAAAGAACAAAGGACATACACCGATGGATTTCAGGAAGGACCCACGCAGATATGGACATACAATTTATGATCAAGCCACGGGGTTAAGATGGTCTTAATTTTTTTTTACACTTTTGTAAATCCTTTTATTGTCTGGCTTAATTGACAGTTGCATTGAAATAGCTACATCTGCTGTTAATCTCTGTGTTGCAGTGTTTGAAGTGGATGGAGAAAACCCAGTCTCATGGATGTGTAATTGGAAAAGGGAATATTTTAATAGACTTTCGAATAATGATATTTTTCTTTGATAGTATGTCAAATTTGACAACTAGTAGTTTTTTAAAGGCTGTTGCCGAGTGAAAACAATCTATATGAATGCATTTTTTGTAGTCAGTTAAAATCCATTCATTGGTCTGCATTGCCTTTTTTTTTTTATTGCATTTTGAAGGGCTGTCTTATTCATGCACAATCTGTAACATCAGGCATTGGTTATTTGTAAAATACTGGTTCACTGAGTGATGCAGATCTTTCAACTGTTGACACATTTCATTATACATCATCCAAAAATCACGTTCTGCACTCATATCATTAGAAGAGTCTTTGAGGACTGGGAAACTGTTACGTTCATGGTGGTAGATACAGTATTTCAAAATTCTAGTTTCTACTGGAAAGCTCAAATGTTATAAATTCATCAAAATGCTTTCCGTTGTCTTCCCTGAAATGCCAGACTTCATGTGCTGTTTAGAAACTATCTGCCAAATAGTCACGTCGGAACAACCGCGGTGAGGGTTCTTCCAGGTGAGGACGGTGCTCCCGGGCCCGGGCAGCAGCTCGCCCTGCCCCTCGCACAGCTGCGCCTGTTAGATGATGATCTGATGACAGGTGATCCCGCTGCTCCTCCCTGCGGCGAAGGGGCTGGGATCTCGGACTCGCAAACCGCGCTGCCCCTGGGCTCGGAGGACGGCTCTGCCGGTCCAGGGCGGCCGAGGGGCAGCCGGCACATCTCTCGGGACTCACACACGCGTGTTTTTATTTCTCAGAGAAGAATAAGTCTGCGGTTCACATGGACGACGGCGACTACCAGCCGCAGCCCCTGACGGTGGAGGTGCAGGTGCAGCTGAACCAGTACCGCTCGGCCGAGGAGGCGCTCCGGGAGATGTCCCTGTAGCGCGCGGGATTAAAGGCTGTTCTGAAGACCGCGGCTCCGCGTGCGTGTGCCCGGGAGCGGGGGACCGTCTGGGGGCGCCGGGCGGTCTCTCCGCCCGCAGGTGCGCCGCGGGTGCGCGAAGCCGCGTGGGGGAGGGGTCCCGCCGCGCCCCGGAGCCCCGCCCCTCCTGGAGCCCCGCCCCAGCCGGGCGGGCCGGGCGAGGCTAGAGCTTCGGTCCCCGCTCCGCGGCGCGAGCTCCTCGCCTGTCCCTGGCTCGGCGTCCCGGCTCCGGTAGGTCCGCGGCGGGCGGGCTGAGCGGGCCCGGGGGCGCCTGGGGCCGCCGCTGCGTGGGGCAGGCGTGTCTCCCGGTGCGGGAGGGGCCCGTGCCTCCGCACCGCCCGCGCACCCGCGAGGACGCTGGGTCTGGCGGCGGGGGTCGTCCTCCCGCGGGGGGGCCGTCGGGGCCAGGCGGCCTCCTGCTGCCCCTCGGCTTGTGTTCGCCCGCCGGGGCCCGAACGGCCGGAAGCTGGCCTTGTGTCCGCCGCGGGGGCCCTGCTCCGTGCTCCGCCGACCCCGCCGGCCTTCGGCGCCCCCAGCACCCGGCTAGAGGCCGTCGGGAGGAGTGAACTAGCCCTTGGCACTTCCCCTTATTGAAGCGTGTCGGGACATGGAGCTCCCAGGGTCAGAGACGGCTGTCGCCCCAGAGACAACTGCAGACCCTTAGGACTCGGCACCGCTCTCGCAGGGGGTCGTGCCCTCGCTGAAGCCCACGCGCGGTTAAGAACCGGGCTCTTGGGGGCTCCCAGTACTGGGGACCCGCGCTGGGCCGGTGCCGAATTGGGACTCACAGCAGTGTGTGGGCCGGGGAGCCGGGGGTGGGGGGACGGCCCTGGGCCACACGTGGGGTGGGGGGCGCGGGGGCGCGCAGCGGGAGCTCCGGAGCCAAACCGCCGGCCCTGCGCCCCCCTCCGCCGCGGTGCCGGCCCGGGGCTCCCCGCCCACAGCTGCCAGTCCTCCCGCTCGCTGCTCCGCGGCCGCCGCGCGCGTCCCAGCTGCGGCGTGGGGCTGGGCCCGTGCGCGTCTCCTCGCCGGTCTCCGCTCCCTTCTCCCTTCCGTAACCCATCATCTCAGCCGCAGCGGGAGGAACCTTTCAAGCGCTGTGATTTCTGCCGCCGCCTCTGCTGAATCCTCCAGTGGGTCCCTGCTGGGGTTACGGTAAACCCGAGCTGCCCCGCGCCCCTCGCCCTGGCCTTTAACGCCTGCCTTCCCAGGCCGGTGCTCCCCGTCCCTCCCCTCCCGGCGCTTCGCCCTCCTGCCCGCAAAGGCGTCTCCCCTCCACCTCCTCCAGGAGCCCCGCTTAACGCCGCCGGCCACACTTTACCCAGGTCTTTGCGGTTGGGTCCCTTCGTTCAGAGCTTTCGGACCCACCACGGGCTGGAATCCTGCCCCGCGGAATGTCCTCACGCTGCTTTCATGTCTCTGCGCCGTCTGAAGTTCGGATTGGTTTTGTTTTGGTTTCTCTCCTCCACGTCCCTGGCGGCTGGGAGGAGATGCTTTTGTCCCGGTGGCAGCAGGGTGGCAGGGATGGGGCGACTGCGGGTGGACTGGGTCGAAGCAAAGGCCTGTTGGACAAGGACCACATGGCCGTGGAGGGGAAGGGGAGAGGCTGGAGGCCTGGCTTTGCTGGCCTGGACCTTGGGCGGTGTCCCCCGCTAGCTTCCGCTTCTGGGCCTTCGCTCCGGACTGGGGTCCTTGCTGGGAGAACCAGAGCTGCGAGAGGCGCGGCCCCGGGCGCCCGCGGCCGCAGGGAGCAGCCCCGCAGGGCCAACGGCTTTCCTACTTGCTTTCATGCCCTTGCGTGCGAGGGGCTTGTTCTTAAACCCCCTCTTAAGTGACTCCTCCAAGAAACCTGTGGGAAAGAGGAAACTTGAGGCGGATGTGAAGGGTTTGTCCTGTGGTTGCCTTTCCCTGGAGGAGCAAACTCTAAGGGCCATACCCGGGGCTGTCCTCTCTGGGAGACCCAGCGCAGGGCCTGCCACCAACAGGGACTGCACACTTTTGGGGGCGGGGCGGATGGTTTAATTTTAGACTCGAGAGCCCTGAATGTCGGGTTTTGTGGATCTGACTGGGAACTGAACCAGCCGTGTGCCATTTTCACCGTAAGATTCTCGAGTTTTCTGGGAAAGAGGAAAGTGCTCATGGTGCCTCAGGTTTTTGGTGTTTTATTTTTTTAAGTAATTTCGACACCCAGTGTAGGGCCCGCACTCACCACCCCGAGATCGAGTCCCACGCTCTTCCGACTGAACCCACCAGGTGCCCCGGGGTGCCTCGGTTTCAAAGCAGCTGCAAGTCCTTTGGGGGAGAAGGTGCGCGAGCACCCCCCCCCCCACCCCGCCCCATGCCCACAGAAGGCGAGGGCTGGCGGAGCAGGTGTGCTTGGCCTGTCCCCTGGGAGAGGGACTCTGGAAAGAGCCAAAGGACTCGCTGGGAAGAGTAAATCGGAGATGGGCCGGCAGGAGCTTGGCTGCTGGGTGGCGGGCCGGGGAGGCAGAGGCGGGCGGGGGCTGCGGCCGCTCACGCGCTCTCTCCCCGCAGGCCCTGCCATGTCCCGCCGGCTGGGCTGGCCTGTCCTGTACAGCCTGGCGGCGCTGCTGCTCGGCTGCCTGCTCTTCCTGAAGAAGGAGGCCAAGCCGGTGGGGGGCTCCGCGGCCCGCCAGCCCTTCTGGGCTCCCCCAGGGCCCCGCCGCAGCCAGTGTCCCCCCAACCACACAGTGGCTAACGTCTCCCTGTCCTTGCCTAGCCGTCACCGCCTCTTCCTGACCTATCGTCACTGCCGCAACTTCTCCATCTTGCTGGAGCCTTCGCGCTGTGCCGAGGACACCTTCCTGCTCCTGGCCATCAAGTCGCAGCCTGGCCACGTGGAGCGGCGCGCGGCCATCCGCAGCACGTGGGGCCGCGTGGGGGACCGGGCTCGGGGCCGGCGGCTGAAGCTGGTGTTCCTCCTGGGGGTGGCGGGCCCTGCGCCCCCCGCCCAGCTGCTGGCCTACGAGAGTCGGGAGTTCGACGACATCCTGCAGTGGGACTTTGCGGAGGACTTCTTCAACCTGACCCTCAAGGAGCTGCACCTGCAGCGCTGGGTGGCGGGTGCCTGTCCTCACGCCCACTTCATGCTAAAGGGAGACGACGACGTCTTCGTCCATGTCCCCAATGTGCTGGAGTTCCTGGACGGCTGGGACCCAGCCCGGGACCTCCTGGTGGGAGACGTGATCCGCCAGGCCCTGCCCAACAGGAACACCAAGGTCAAGTACTTCATCCCCCAATCCATGTACCGGGCCCGCCACTACCCGCCCTACGCTGGGGGTGGGGGATATGTGATGTCTAGAGCCACCGTGCGGCGCCTCCAAGTGGCCGTGGAAGAGGCCGAACTCTTCCCCATCGACGACGTGTTCGTGGGTATGTGCCTGAGGAAGCTGGGGGTGAGCCCCACGCACCACGCTGGCTTTAAGACATTTGGAATACGGCGGCCCCTGGACCCCCTAGACCCCTGCCTGTACCGAGGGCTCCTCCTGGTGCATCGCCTCAGCCCCCTGGAGATGTGGACCATGTGGGCGCTGGTGACCGATGAGGGGCTCAGGTGTGCAGCGGCCCCCTTGCCTCAACTCCGAGGGGCGGGCTGAGTGAGGAGCGCCCGTGCTGATTCTCCCATCATGACGACAACCTGAGAACCGTGACCCCTACCCCGATGGTCTATAGGAAATGCTAACTTCGCTTTTGTACCCCCACCCAACCTTGCTAACTCTGATTAAAAACACCGAAACCTCGCTTCACCTGTACCAAGTTTGGCTCAGCGAATGCGGCCAGGACTCGGGTGCCGGTCGCTGGGGCGGGGAGGGGGGGATTCCCGGAGCCCCCTGCAGCTCTGCCAGTTTGGGAAGTGAAGGAAAGAGGCTGCACAGGGCCCAGAATATACACACAAACGTTTTCTTTTTGAAGTGCAAAACAAATTATTCTCCTTCAGATACAATAGAGACACTCGAAGGAAAGAAGGAAACGAGAAGCACGGGTTGGAGTACGTCCTGTTGAGCACCAGGTAAACACTCCGCGTTCAGTTCGGTAACAATAATGGGCTTCTGGCGCCTGGGCTCCAGCTGTCCTTACAGGCAACGGGGCCAGATCACAGAAGGCACCAGAAACACGTAAAAAGAAATCTTATCAACAGGCTCCCCTTTCCCCAAAACAACACACATTCCGATGCGGGGAGCAAAGACTAAATCATATCTGAACATGTAAGACTGGAAAGGGAAGTTAACCAGCTACTGAACTCGTGGGCATGACGAAACAGGACCCCTCTCTCCGGCCAGGCTGCTGAGCCGCGCTGGGTCGGAGGTAGAAAGATGGGGGGTGGGAAGCTGTGCTGAGTGGGGTCAACGTTAAACAGGGTGAGTGCCCCAGGGCCAAGAACCAGCTCCTCGGGGTGGGGAGGGAGGGGGCCAGGCACTCACAGCTCACTAAGGCCTCCGGCCTGATGGGCCAGGGCAGGACCCGCTGCCTCCTCTCCGTCCAGAGAAGGCTCTGCCGCCCCGGGCCGGATGGCAGCCGCCCCTGCCTTCCCCGGGCTGAACCGGCAGACGCGGGCAGCCGCTCCGGCGCTCAATCCTCGCGCAGGTAGGCTTCCTGCTCCGGCTCGGCCCTCTCGTCCCCGTCCTCCTGTGTTTTCTGCCGGAGCTCCTCTGTCTGTGCTTCTGCCAACTTGGTTTCTGCTTTCTGGGAAAGCTGGCGCACTTCCTGCACCTGTGACTTCACCAGCTGAATGTGATTCCTGGCGGTGATCGAGGCCTGATCTGCTCCTGCCGAAAGAGGGGACAGTTGGGCTGGATGGCTGCACAGGGTGGAAGGCACCGGGGGGACGAGGAAAGCCTGGGGCTCCGTGGCTGGCATCCGAGCCCTTTCCTCTTGGAGACTTTCCCTGCCCTCCCTGTCCTCCGTCTCTGCACAGCAGAGACCTTTCTACCTCCACACCG